TGGCTGCAGCTGCTTCCTTCTGCTGCAGCCATTTACACGTAGCTTCCAGTGCAGTCCAAGAGCACATGCTCGTCTGGGGGAAGGAGGAGAAAGAGCAATAAAATATTTGAAGTGCAGACATCCCCTATGAGAAACATGTTAATAAAATAGTAAACACTGTCAGGATGTCTCTCTGGCCTTCCGGTCTGTGTTAGAAGAGTCACTGCTACAAGGATGGGCTTTACCAGTTTTGAGTGAGATTGCACTAGAGGAGAAGTTGAAATGCAGAAGAGAAGTTCCTCATGGCATGTAAAGAATGAGGTTGTTGTGGGCAGGATGCCTTGGAGTCCCTGACCTCCTAGTCATTGGAGAAAGGGCCCTTCTTTGGTGCCAGTGTGTGCCTGGATTCAAATAAAATGGGGTTCACTCCAATCAAACATCCAGTCATTTTTCCTGTGGCATTTTCTGTAGGCCTGTTGAGCTCAGGAAGGAGATTTCTGCTCCTAGAGTGCTGCTTTCCCCTGTTGCTGAGTTTTCCTGTTTACTCTCTCAGCACAGTGTGGACTGGTGGAGCTGAGACTGAGACTTGGACAGAGGAGCAGAAGCTAAATGTGGCATCTGAAAGAATAAACAACCAGGATTAAGCACTGTACAGGCTGTGGGGCTGAATTAATGCTATCCCTTGTAGGACAGAAATTACAGTGGTATGCATTCCCAGACCTGGATATACATGTAGCTGGAAGGAAAAACTATAGGGCAGCAGGACTTCCAGTTATAATATAACAAAATATAACAGTGCTTCCATTGCTCCCTGAGATACTCTTCCATCAAAATAATTAAACAGATGAACTCTACAGTCATCCTGTGGTCTGCCAATGCAGGTGACTGGTTTAGCACTGGGATAGGTAATGTCCTCATTCAAAGCCTGGTTCAGTTCTGTCAGAAGGCACACAGGGGAGTCACAGCAGAAGGACAGCTGGAGTTTGGTCAGTTTGAGGCCTGGAGCAAGACCAAACAGAGTTATCTGGGGGGATAAGAGGCAGCCTGGCCATGCTCACACATTGCTCATAACACTATCGACTGGGTAATGTCTTGTGCACATCCTCTGCTCACTGATGGGGTCTTCTCCTGCCTCACCCCCTGGTAGTGGCTGGATGCAGAGGAGCTGGTGGAGGCTGTGCCAGCAGCACCAGCACCAGCTTTTGCCTGCAGATGGTGGGAATATTTCAGAAGTAGGGAGGTCAGGCTGGGTTTCTGGGCTCTGTGAAGCTTTTTTTTTTTTTTTTAAGGACTTAGTTTTGTTTAGTTTTGCTTTTAAAGGGTGAAGAGGGGGAAAAAACAGCTTCCAGAAAAAAGCAACAGCTCAAGCTCCAGGAGCCAGATCTTAGCATGAGAACCCAGCCCAACATGGGGGAGGGCTGTGTCAGATCACTGCATGCCCGAGGAGCAAGAATTTGCTGCCTGCTGAAAAGCCACAGAGCTCAGACCCTATTTGAAAGAGTAACATCTTTGATATAAAAAAACCAACCAACAACAACCCCAAACCACCCAGCCAATAAAAAGCCTCAGACATACAGGATCCCATTCATGGTGGGAGGGATTTAGTGGAAGTATTTTCCTTCTTTAAGGTTTGGCACAGCCTTAAAGGAGTCTCTTTAAAAGCTTCCAGAGCTGATTATATTTTGGATTGTGTTTCAAATCACCCTTCCCCCCATGTTTGGTGGGTCCTCAAACAAGTTCCCAGAATAAATTAGACATAACGGTAGCGGGATTTATTATTATTTTTTTTTCTTGAGGAGGAGGAAGGAATAAATGACACCAAATTCTGTAATGGAAAGAAAAAAGAAAAAAAAGTGTGTATCGGAAACTGCTGCTGAGTGACTCATGCTGCCAGACAAATGGAACCTCACTCATCACTCCATCTTCATCCTCCTCTGGTGAGAGAAAAAGTCTTGGAAAAATATCAGCTCAACCCCCCCACCCTGCTGCTTCTCCCATGGCATTCGTACACAGGGAAACAGTCCAAGCCACAGTGATGGCTTCATGTGCTTCTTGGGGCAGGCATTTTTTTTTTTTTGTTTTAATAGCCAACTAGGAAAAGCCTCCGAGGTGACCTTGGAAAAATGTATGCACCAAAGGAAAAAGTTGTGGAAAGGGGGGCGGGGGGGGGCAGCGTTGGAGTCCTTGCATGCTTTATGTTTGGAGACTCTTTTTTCCTTCATAATGTTTTTCCAAATTTCCACTGAAATAAATTTGCAAGTTATTATTTTTTTTATGAGTGGGAAGCGAGGGGAGGATGTGCCATGAGAAAGGCAGAATGAGCTGGGCACAAATCCGACTTAAATAAATGCTGCGTCATAAAAGTATAAAGGGTAGGGCAGGGGGCAGTGGGATGCAAAAAAATTGCTCTGTTTCTCCCCTGTTTGGGAGAGTAATTAGCGTTTTTATGAAACATATAAACTGTATACAAATCAAATACGTTTTTATTAACATAAAAATGAGGGGGAGTCTTTTTTTTTTTTGTTTTTACTTTCTCAAAACATCCTCTGCAAATGTTTGGCACTGCCTGCCAGAAAGCCACTTAAAATGCAGCTTTTCAGACTGCCAGCTCCAGCCAGCCCTGCTGTGGGCACAAGGGCTATTAGCCAGTGGCAGCCACTTCCCAGCAAATGCCTTTTGAGCTGTAGGGCAGTGGGCTTGAGCAGGTACATACAATGGCTAAGCTCTGTCTCATAAAAAATCTTGCTTAAGGAGATACCATGTTTTTACAGGCTGTTGGTTCTTGGTTTTCATCAACAGGTTACTTCTCCTTCCACCCTGAGATGCCTTGAATTTGATCGTGCATGGTGTGAAAATGGCCATGAAGAGGTGTAATGTTCTGTTCTTCCCTGCTTTTTGTGGTTGTGGTCAGTCTCATGCCCTTTTTAAGTGCTCCCAGTTTTCTCCCTTTTCTTCCCACTATAATTCTTCCCTTCTTCCAATGCCATTCGCTGTCTCCAGCTCAGGCTTGCACATCTCACCATCTGCAGAGCTGGGGAAGCTCCCAGGACACTGTGTAGGAGTGGTGACAAGAGCGGAGGGTGGCCTGTGACAGCAGTTTGGGGTGGCCAGAAGACATCCAAGGATGCAGGAGAACAGCACTGGGCAACTCTGCCTCAGGGACTCCTCACGGGTTTACACAGATACAAAAGGAGATGTTGCTGATGGCAGCAGCCACAGGTCCCTGACCTCCTAGACCCTGTGGAGCTTACCCCTTGTGCTCCTTTCCTCATCCCCTACCCTTCCCTGGGTTTCACAGCCCATGGCACGATGCTGCAGAGCCAGCTGCTGTCCCCATCCCCGCGCTGCTCTGCGCACGGGTGGGACAGCAGCCAGCCCAGCTCCCGGACCCAAATGCCCGCGGGCAGACCAGGGAGAAGCCCCCGGCTGCGCTTCCCAGCTGAGGCCTGAGAGCAACTGCGGCCGACGAATGACTTTCATCTGGACCGCATTAGCCATGGGTGGTGCCGCCGGAGCGATGGCTGCGGGGAGCAGCAGCTCTATTTAAGGCAGTCTCTGCCAGCTGCCTCCGGGCTACCAGCGGTGGGAGTGGCTGTGCCAAGCTGGGACCTTGAGTGCTGAGGTTCCCCGGGGGAGCTGTTCCTGTGCTGGAAAAGCTGTCCCGACTGTAAGTGCAAGGTTTCACTCACCTTCCCTCCCCTACCTCTTCCTTTTGCTTCGTTCCACAGGAAAGCAATCATAGTATCAAGTGTTTCCTAATAACTTTTTAGGTCGATGACTAATTTTTCAGCCACGCTGACTGACGGGTAATAGTAAGATATTAAGCCCTGCTGTGAAATAGGCGTCCAAGTCAGAAAAGTGTCAGGGAAGCTATGCAGGAGAGAGAGGTTTTTGAAATATCCTAGTTTCAGGAAAGCCTCTGTTCAGAGGTTCTGTGCCTGGGAGGCTGAAATCAATCCATTGCCAGGTAAAAACCCCTAAGAAAATGAGCACTGGTGGAGCTCATGTTTGTGGCCCTGCCTTGCTGGCTATGGGAGGGAGCCCTAAGAGGTTTTCTCTTAAAACCCTCATCCTACCCTGGGGAAGGATATTAGATTTCAATCTAGGCTTTGCAGATGGGCCTCAAACAAACTGGAGGGCTTGTGAAAAACGCAAGGAAGTAAGATGTGGGTTTGGATCCCAAAATTCCTGTTCCTAACAAGGAGCCATCTGAGTGCTGCTTTGGAGGCTTTCAGCTCTGAAATGCTAGACGTTCCCCGCGGTGTCCCCATTTGCGGTGCATTGCAGGCTCTCAGTGCTTTGCTGGGCTTGACAAGCTTGCCACTTTGGGCTTATGGTCCCCATTTGGGGACTGTAAGCTCCAGACAGGCCTGTGCTGTGTCTTCCCTGCTTGCAGTCTTCCGTGAAGATTTAGTGGAGGGGAGTGGGGAAGTGAGAAAGAACAGGATGAAATCATCTTTTTCTGAAAGTCAGCTGATGTGCTGTATAAAATGCAGGTCTAGGTTTTGAACCTAGAATTTTCTTTAATAACAAACCCGGGTCAATGAATGTAAAAGCCCCATGCAGAGCCTTTTACTGTGTTAGTCATAGCTTGAATCCTTTATGTTCCCTCTTCTAATGGCAAGTATTATCCAGCATGCCTTGTTACAGTGCAGTCTTTGGAGGGTGTGGAAGTTAGTAATGATGGTGCCTGAATGCTGTTACAGAGATCGCTGCTACAATTCACAGCAGATAATAGGAGCCACAGCCAGACGGATAATAGAACTGACTGAGATCCATTTATTGCTAAGAGACTGTCTGAATATTTGTACATAGCCTGAGCCACTCCACTCTCCTTCATCACATTTCCCAGGAAAGGGGGGGAGGGCGAAAAAAACGAAGCACAAGCCTAGGGCAGAATTGGGAGGAAAGGAGAGATTTGCACACTCTGATGCATTCACACAGAGCCAGAATGGTGTAGGTTGCTAATGTATTTACAGGCTGCCTATACAGGTGAAGGTGTGGCATGACAACAGGAAGCAAGTGGTGGACTTAGGATGGGAGCCTGTCTAAAGCCTAAACATCTGATCCCAAAGCCATCTTCCCTCTCAGGTAAATAACCAGCATGATGGAAGGTTTCAGTGCATGATGGGCTGTAGGCAAAGCCAAAGTCAGGGATAACTGAAGTAGCCAGGCCAGAAGAACTTGACCTAATTCAGAACTTGACCTAATTCATTGCCACTTCAAATTTCTTGGTCTTCATGTGCTTGCTAAGCTGTTTAGGCCTTGCAGAATCTGTCTGGAGAGGTAATTTGTGTGCCAAAATGTATATATGTAGTTCAAGTTACTCAGGGTTTTTGGTATCTGACTGACCCTCCACTCACCTTTCCCTGTCTGGGAAGTGTTGGCAGTTTTTAGGAGCATAAAAAGTTTGGGAATTTTTTTTCTTACTTTCAGAGAATTTTCTAAGTGTTGGTTATGTATGTGGAAATTAAAATACTTGTAGCTTGTATTCCTGGTGGTTGTTCTTTACCTTTCAAGGGGGGCCATTGCTGTGTTAGCCCTTCTCTTATCCCTGGTGCTGGCTCTGTCTGTTCAGTATCTGCTGTTTCTAGGATGCTAGTGAGGAGCAAGCAACAGGCAATGGCAAAGTCCAGCCCAACAACAAAGGAAATACTGATGATGGCATCTCTTCTTACTTCTTTTTCAAGGTGGTGGAGCGTAGGGAAGTTAAGCTGCAGTGCTCCCAGCTCTGGAGAAGGACTGTGGTTTAATGTAGGTTGAGGAGAGCAGCTTTGTGGTAGTTAACTGATGGTCACTGCTGACTCCTGGCAGCAAGCCTGGCTGTGCTAATGGAGGAACTGAGGCTCTGATGGAAGTGGATGATGTGCTGTGAGAGAGCTCCCTACCTGCCTGCTGAATGATGACTGGCTTGGTTTCCTGGCTCTCTCTGTCAGCACATTTGGATGCTGCCAGTAAGAAAATCCAGCCTTGCCCCCACCTTACCCTTTGCTTTGAAACACTTTGTGGTGTTGAGAGCATGTCTAAGCGTCTGTGATCTGAGGTACTCATGGCTCCCAGATGTTAGAGCTGGTCAGCTGGCACAGAGTCCTTGCTAAGCCAGTCTTCTATGACCATTCATTTTTACTTTCTACATATTTTTAATTTTTTTTTGTTTCCTTCATCCCAGAGGTACTAAGGCCTTTTCTTTACTGATCAAACAGTTTGTTAATAGCACTTCATTTTTCTATAGTCCTTGGAGGTCACTGAGTTTGTTCAGCAGTGAACTAGGTTAGACTTGTGCTAAGGAGGAAAAGTCAACTCTGTTTTGATATGCAAACATATTCAGGTGCAAGTCTGTTTTCACCCTCAGATGTGACCGTGTGCTGTCAGTGGGTGATGGAAAGTGTGTGTGGGGGATAAGGGTCTCATTGCAAACCAGGGCTCCTGGGCTCTGTTCTTGGCTTTGAACAGATGTGTGAACATTGAGCACCTTGTGTTACCCTTCTCTGTCATCAGGACTGGGAGCTGATTTGGACAAGGACCACCTCTGAGTGTTTGAGGCTGACTAGTTAGTGCTGACAGTTGCTGCCTGTGATGGGCAGTGAAGGACTAACAAGAGCTTTCACCTGCACCTCTCTGAATGGGTGAGATGTGTATGGACAGTGGAAAACCAAGCAGCTGGGTGCTCACTTATCCCTGGATACAGCAGGTGTACAATGCTGGGTAGTCCTGACCTCCCCTGTGCTACCCTAATAGGGGTGAGATGCAAGATCAGAAATTAGAGTTCTCCATTGTAGGCTTCTTCTCCCACCCATCCCTTCTTTCACGTTTTCTTTAGAACCAGAGATCTGTAATATGGGATATTGCACAAATCTCTTGTATAGCTCTGCAAAATTCCCAGTATCTTGAGTAAATGAATGAAGGAATGTTGTTTTCCAGCTGGTTGGAAGAGATCTTTGTCTTGGAGAGCCTTTCCTCTTGTGAGACTTCCCCTGGGAGGTTATGTGCAATAAGGCTTCTGCTAGCAGCAAATACTGGTCTTGAAGCATTTTCCTGAAGTTCATGTGGAAGGTGGAGGGATGGGATTTCTATTCTACACTGAAATTAAATGTGAACATTTTACAACCCATCAGTTGGTCCTTTAAGCTGAAAGATCCCACTACTGCTCTAAGAAGACAGTGTTTGCTTTTTCCTTTTTTTCCTCTTTTTTTCAGATGCTGTAGGAAGGGCCATTTCAGGGCAGATGTTAAGAAAACTGGACTACTCTGAAATATGTTCATCACAAAAAATATAGGTACATTCCAAGATAGATTTGGACTTTTCTAAGATGTTCTATCATCCTAACTGAAATGTACAGTTTAGGTAGTGGACATTGCCTGACTCCAAGAATAATTTATTCCATTTCTTTGTGTACAGTTTGGCTCACTTACCAAAAGTCCTTCAGAGTTCTCACAACTTGTAAGTTTAGGTCAAACAGGCATATATGTTAAGGGAAAAGGAATGTCTTGAACTGTGCTCAAAAACAATGACTATATAGTTTAAATATCATTTTGAGGAAAAGAATTTATATCCCAGAGGAATGAGTTCTAGCAACTCCAGCATTGATGCTGTGTATGACAAAGTATTACTAAAATGTTTTTCAAAGGCTGCACTGTCTCTCTGGACATAAAGCCCTTTCCTTACCATCTCTCACAATGATGGTGGCCAAAATATTTCCATACCAGGAGTTGGTCAGTGGTCAGTCTTCACCACAGTGTCTGCATGAAATTACTGTGACTGGTGCTCACAAATCACTGAGGCATTTTTGAAATGTTAGGCTCTTAAATCTAAGCTTGGGAGGAGCTTTAATGGAAGAAAAGAAAGAACAACTCTATTTTCATTTAAGTTTGGGAGCTGGCAGAGATGGAGGCTGCCTAACCTTCAAACAGATGGCTGGAGCTCACTTTCTTAGTGGCCAGGGAGACCTGAACTCTAACTGCAGTTGTGGCTATAAATAAGTTGTGGACCACAGGCAAATTCTTGTGCTTGCTTTCTCATTTCCAGAAAGGGTGAATTGTTTCTTAGAAACGCATCTGGTCCATCCTGCATGTTGGGGGCTGTCAGGATGTGTGTGACCTACCTGCTCCCGTGGCAATCTTTTTTTATCAGATTCTGAGTTCTTCAAAGAAACAAGGGACAGGAAGGGTGTGGGTGTAACTGAAGGGCATTTTACCATACGTTTTTTCGTTTCGAGCCTGAAGTAGCACAAAACAAACCACAAGTTTTGATGCAAATTAGGATTCCTGAAAAATGACTGATTTCTTTTTTTAACATTGATGGACATGCAAGTCCTCCTTCATGCACAAGATTCTTTCTTGAGCCACGCCTTGCCTCTCTGCTCAGCCTGTATATTCAGTGTATGCTGTTAGAAGAGCAAAGCGAGAGTGCAGCAGCATCACCATGACAAATACAAAAGTAGGACAAAATCCTGGTTGAAATCCAAAACCTGAGCATGAACTTGCCTTCAGAGATGATCCAAAATGCTGTCTAAAACATGGCTGCCTGGAGAACTGGATGTGACCACCCAGGAACTCCCTTGGGTTTTATGCCCAGGCTGCTGCCTGAAAAGCTTTTTGCTTGCATTGTCTACCAAATGCATGTGTAGTTTCAAACCAAAGTATCTGAAAATCCCTAGCTGAAAGTAGGGATCTGTGTTCCTTTTGTTCTAGATTCGACAAATGTCTCAAACTTGAAGAATAAGCAGAAAGTTATAATAAGGCATGTATGATGCATTTCAAACATCTTTGTGCTTTGCCTTCTGCCATCAATATAATGGCTATTAACTAGTACTTCGACTATGACAAATTAATTTGAATCTCTACTTTCATATGTCCACAATGATACATAGAGTCAGTGCGTGAAGAATTGAGGCCTGTGACCACTCCTCCACACTGGTGCTTCAGGTTTAATGGACAGCTGAGCAACACTTTAGAAGGTGTTTTATCTTTTCTGCCTGTCCATTTAGATCAGTCCTAAGCCACCAGACTGAAAGCTGCCACTGTCCTTTGAGCTGTGTGAGGAAAGCTGAGAGTGCGACTTGTGAGTAAACAGCAAGAAAAACTAGTCTGTGATCAAAGCTTGCCTGAGTAGTCCTGTGGGGGAACCCCCTTGTTCCACCAGTGCTCTGAGGTCATGCAACTTGCCTGTGCAACAGAGTCTAGTGTGACACGCTGGGCTTTTTGTCCTCAGCCCTCGTCCAGTTCAGGTTTGCTCCTCGTTAAGGTCTCCAGTTTTCAGCTCTGGCTGATCTGGACACTGGTGCACTTTGCTGCTTAAATCCCACTGAACATCTCTTTATACTGGAAGAGGAAACCATAATTCCCCTGAAGCTCCAGCACAGCCAGAAGCTACAGCCACAATGAAGCTGTAACACCAACCTGTAAAGGACAGGTAACTTTTACTCTATCCTGACTTCAACCTCTGCTTCAAATCTGGGCTAGGTGACTTGGTACTGGAGATGTCTCACAGAGGTCTTAGAATTAATCTTACTGATTACTGTGTACAGCTGTAAGTAATAAGAGATATATTGCCTGGAACCATATAGATTAAAAGGAAAGATCTCAGTCTTTTGCCTAAAAATACAATCTACTGCCCAGTTATTCAGGCCAGGAAAAGATTTTCATGATGCTGGGCACGAGGTCTAGAACTTAGTCTCTTTTCTGCTGCTGTTAGGAAGGGACAGGTTTAACAGACCATTGCTCTCATCTCCTTCGCACTTCAACTTTCTATGTCTCCCCAGAGAGTGACCTCCAGGTTGGTTTGGTCCTCATCTGAAAAACTATGGTGAGGGTCTCCTATTACAAGCTTTGAGATTGATTAGCTAGTAGCTACAAAGAAAGCCCAGGCCTAGGAAAGTTGTAAGGGTGCTAGCCAGGAAATATGCCTGGATAGGAAAGGAACTTTCCAGAGTGTAATTTCAGATCCTTGGTTTGTATTAATGGACCTGGTTCCATGTTTTGTAGAACTGTACACTTGAAAATAAACTGGAGTGTAAAAGAGAGAAAGAATTTAGTCATGGTAGCTTAAATTCTCTTCTTTTGAACCATGTGAAATGTCAGGAGGACAGGAAG